ATCGAAGAAACTTGACTGTCCGTTCTATTCTGACTCGATAGTGACCTTGATGTTGATGACGGGTGAATTGAAACTACTTAGCACGTCTGTTGCGCTGATAGTTCCGTTAGCAAGTACGAGGATTCCGTCAACGTAGCAACAATACAACGTTTACCGTGCATTGAGTGTTCTGATTTTGAGTTTCCAGTTTGGCTATGGAAAAATCTGCCTACCTGAGACCTGGAGGATTTCCCATTGCCACCCCAACCTTTCGTCGATAAATTTGATTGTCAAAAGTAAACTGAACATTGTAGGGAGCAGGAATTCCTTAAGATCCGAGATGGGAATGCCAATATCTTTACCGTTGCTCTTAATCATGTCAAAAACGTAGTCTATTGTCTCAGTGAGTGGTATATTTGTAAACAATGACTCGACGTCCAGGGAGAACATGGAGTATTTATCAATCTTCAGATATTTAATCTGATCGACGAAATCAAAATTGCCCCTCAGACTGTGTTGATACTTCTCTACTGATTGGTTCTAACAGACAGACAAGCCGTCTATACAAAGCATGGTAAGGAGAATCAGACATATCGAGCATGGACCTGAGACGTAGGCCGGGTTTATGCACTTTTGAGAGACCATAAAGCCGAGGGATTGTTGTACCAGTGGGGCGGATACGCTCGAGAGTATTGGTATCAATATTTCAGGGCTGTTTAATACGTCTTAAAATATAGCATAGAAAACGACCAGTAGTACCTCCAGTGTGGTTAGAAAAGGTATAATTGCTCGACAACAGACACTATCCAGCATCGCGTGGATGGCATCTATTGATGGTTTGAATGTACAACTCACATGATAGGCAAATCGGACGTCGAGTAGCGATAAATTACCGTATTTTGGTGCATGATTCAATATAGACGATACGCCCTCAGTATGCCACTAATTTGCGCACAGCTTGCATGCACGGCATAAGCACAATTATTTCTTCCTTTGAGATGGAATCATTTTCGTGTCATTCAGACATGAAATGTTTTCTTTAGGTTAGAGAGTGCTTCAGTGCAACGTTCTGATCGAAGTAAAGCCGTGGGGAAATTCTTCACTCAGTAGTAGAGCTGCGTCCGTCGTATATATATATATATATATATATATATATATATATATATATATATATATATATATATATATATATATATATATATATATATATATATATATATATATATATATATATATATATATATATATATATATATATATATATATATATATATATATATATATATATATATATATATATATATATATATATATATATATATATATATATATATATATATATATATATATATATATATATATATATATATATATATATATATATATATATATATATATATATATATATATATATATATATATATATATATATATATATATATATATATATATATATATATATATATATATATATATATATATATATATATATATATATATATATATATATATATATATATATATATATACGACGGACGCAGCTCTACTACTGAGTGAAGAATTTCCCCACGGCTTTACTTCGATCAGAACGTTGCACTGAAGCACTCTCTAACCTAAAGAAAACATTTCATGTCTGAATGACACGAAAATGATTCCATCTCAAAGGAAGAAATAATTGTGCTTATGCCGTGCATGCAAGCTGTGCGCAAATTAGTGGCATACTAAGGGCGTATCGTGTATATTGAATCATGCACCAAAATACGGTAATTTATCGCTACTCGACGTCCGATTTGCCTATCATGTGAGTTGTACATTCAAACCATCAATAGATGCCATCCACGCGATGCTGGATAGTGTCTGTTGTCGAGCAATTATACCTTTTCTAACCACACTGGAGGTACTACTGGTCGTTTTCTATGCTATATTTTAAGACGTATTAAACAGCCCTGAAATATTGATACCAATACTCTCGAGCGTATCCGCCCCACTGGTACAACAATCCCTCGGCTTTATGGTCTCTCAAAAGTGCATAAACCCGGCCTACGTCTCAGGTCCATGCTCGATATGTCTGATTCTCCTTACCATGCTTTGTATAGACGGCTTGTCTGTCTGTTAGAACCAATCAGTAGAGAAGTATCAACACAGTCTGAGGGGCAATTTTGATTTCGTCGATCAGATTAAATATCTGAAGATTGATAAATACTCCATGTTCTCCCTGGACGTCGAGTCATTGTTTACAAATATACCACTCACTGAGACAATAGACTACGTTTTTGACATGATTAAGAGCAACGGTAAAGATATTGGCATTCCCATCTCGGATCTTAAGGAATTCCTGCTCCCTACAATGTTCAGTTTACTTTTGACAATCAAATTTATCGACGAAAGGTTGGGGTGGCAATGGGAAATCCTCCAGGTCTCAGGTAGGCAGATTTTTCCATAGCCAAACTGGAAACTCAAAATCAGAACACTCAATGCACGGTAAACGTTGTATTGTTGCTACGTTGACGGAATCCTCGTACTTGCTAACGGAACTATCAGCGCAACAGACGTGCTAAGTAGTTTCAATTCACCCGTCATCAACATCAAGGTCACTATCGAGTCAGAATAGAACGGACAGTCAAGTTTCTTCGATGTCATTGTTAAAGAGAAGACCGACGGGACCATTGAAAACAAAGCAAACGTAGAAAGGTCAGCATATTCAATTCCATAACCTCATTCCATTTTGACAAAAATGTAATCTAATTAGACCTCGGCTTTCTCTCAAAAGTGCATAAACCCGGCCTACGTCTCAGGTCCATGCTCGATATGTCTGATTCTCCTTACCATGCTTTGTATAGACGGCTTGTCTGTCTGTTAGAACCAATCAGTAGAGAAGTATCAACACAGTCTGAGGGGCAATTTTGATTTCGTCGATCAGATTAAATATCTGAAGATTGATAAATACTCCATGTTCTCCCTGGACGTCGAGTCATTGTTTACAAATATACCACTCACTGAGACAATAGACTACGTTTTTGACATGATTAAGAGCAACGGTAAAGATATTGGCATTCCCATCTCGGATCTTAAGGAACTCCTGCTCCCTACAATGTTCAGTTTACTTTTGACAATCAAATTTATCGACAAAAGGTTGGGGTGGCAATGGGAAATCCTCCAGGTCTCAGGTAGGCAGATTTTTCCATAGCCAAACTGGAAACTCAAAATCAGAACACTCAATGCACGGTAAACGTTGTATTGTTGCTACGTTGACGAAATCCTCGTACTTGCTAACGGAACTATCAGCGCAACAGACGTGCTAAGTAGTTTCAATTCACCCGTCATCAACATCAAGGTCACTATCGAGTCAGAATAGAACGGACAGTCAAGTTTCTTCGATGTCATTGTTAAAGAGAAGACCGACGGGACCATTGAAAACAAAGCAAACGTAGAAAGGTCAGCATATTCAATTCCATAACCTCATTCCATTTTGACAAAAATGTAATCTAATTAGGTGACTGACTAAAACAGCAATAGAGATATGCTACCCCGACTGTTTAAAAAAGGAACTAAAGTTCTTGGGACACATATTCCTACAGAACGAATATCCTGAAAGGTTCGTACCCAATACTATGGGATACGTTAAGCCCAATGTTCTGCTGGGAGGTAGCTCATCTACATGCGACTCCCATTCAAAGGTGACTCGGTTGCTGAACTAATTACCAGAAGGCTTAGAAACTCTGTTGATACGACATACTTGGCTACCAATCTGTGTTTGAGCTTCAAATCCAGCCCCACTACCAGTTTCTGCTTGAAGGACACATTTCCAGCTTTTGAGTGCATCCATTTGTGTATTTGTGCCGAGTATCATAAGTTAGTCGTATGGTAAGGCGTTTATCGGACAGAATGCGAGAGCACAATCCCGTGTCTTTGAGTCGTAGTTAGAAGAAACCAGGCTCAGATGCAATACTATAATATTTGGCCGAAACTAGTCATATCATCGACGGAGAGCAAGCTTTCACTGTAATATACCGGGCACCTCTGAACAGATCACGACTGGTACGATCCACACTACTATCGATCACAGAGGCAATTAAAATCCGACTGCTAGATCCACAAATTTGCGTTCAAAAGAAACTTGTACAACATTTGAACTTGAACACGCCTGCGAAAAATCCGGTCCCAAAAGCCTGTTTGACATTGAAGTCACGTACCTGATTCCGTGGCCCATTGACCTACTCCTTATTTGAAACCCTCTTCCTTTGATTTCTATTCCTCTAAAGTGTATGTATACCAGATTTAACCTTTACACGTGATTTCTAGTAACATATAAAATTGTGGCGTATCAACCAAGAGGAACTATCATAGAAAACAAGCTTTGTTCGCCTCATTTACTGTTCTCATGTTTCACTATTACTGGTGAATCACCAGCTGTGAGCATATCAAGAAATTCCAGGAAGTCTCGAACCCACCATCCCCAAGCCAGTAGTTTGACCGTTCGACCACCTAGACAGGGTATAGCACCACTCTTCCCCCAGTCACGAGATCCACGTCACGTGATCACGTGCTGACTGTGCCTCTGTTTGGCTTCCCAATTAGAATAGAACAGCTGTACAGTGCTTCTCATCTTTTCAGAGTAGACTGGATTCACCTACAGAAAAAACATTCACTAAAATTTTCAAACCTACTCTCACTACCAACAGTAATACTGTCCGGCATGACGAACAACCATAATTCGCCCTCAATTGACGAATCGAGTTGATTTAAGGAGATATGGTGTCAAGACTCCACACCAAAGTGCACTGTGCTCCCATAAAAGTACAGTAGTTAATCGCCTAAGGGAACTTTGTGGGATGCAGTGTATGGCTGAAAGACAAATTTGACAACGCTCTAGCTTTGTACATAAATCTAAACTGACTGCTGAGCCTCGTCCTGAAATTTTTTGTACGCCTGTTCTGTTTCGTATTTAAGGATCAAGGACTTAGGTCCTTGATCAGCGGGATACTTTAAATCAAAAGGAACAAAACCTATGGTTAACTCACCATAATATCCTTCCCGTTTGCAAGTAGTGGGCCATCTTTTTCTAAATAGGAGAAAGATGGTACATTAGAAAATTGGTAAAAATTAGAGAATTAGATGAGCGAATTAATGGCATTTATATTACAGTGAGAGGAACAAGATGAACAATTATTTTTCGAACGAAGAAAGTTTAATTCTGCAAGTATGGTATTCTCCCAGCAAAGTTCCCTCCCGGGTGACATCACACTACTAAAGAGGTCACAATGCTCATCTTCGATACTCACGATGTGGCGTGAAAAAATCCCTGGGAAATTCCCTCAACCACGAGAGGCTAGAAGCTTTTCTTCACTTAATTGTCTTCGCATCTGATGAAGGACAATTTTGAAGGGGCATTTTCAAGTTTCCAGTGTGGTATTCTTATGCGAAGTGAATTAACTTATTCCGAATGGCCTAAAAATACTGACTATGGAAAGGATTAGACACTTGCGCGATCGAAAAGCGATATCTTGTCCTTTATCTGACTGTGGCGAATGGCCTATACTGACTATGGAAAGGATTAGACACTTGCGCGATCGAAAAGCGATATCTTGTCCTTTATCTGACTGTGGCGTTGATGCGCGCCAGAAAACTCGTTGGATGTTGTGGTGACGGGTACATATTGTGAGACAAGTGGAAAATCACCTTCCAAAAATGCAAAGTGGCCCGTTGGGGGGAGTGGTTTTCAATACGAGGTGGTGAACTAAAATATCAAGAGTTGAATAGACTAGGGCGAATGGGGACTTCTTTCTAGAACATTTAACTTTCATCCCCATGTTTAAAGCGCACATTTTCAAAAACCTGCCGGAGACATTTGGCCGTGGAGTTTCGATGAAGAAAGGAAAATCAAAACGGAATGACGTGCGTCCGAAGAGTGCTGGTGATATAGGTTGACCTTCAAAATCTGCGAATTATAATCGCATACATCTGTAATACAGAGTAATGTAAGTCCATTAAAAGATTTCGTGCTAGCTATAGATCTCTGCAATTTTTAAACGAATTTGTGCCCACAATCAGGCATTCTCCTGAAACAAGCTAGCATTTACAACCTAGAATACTGTTTACCTTCAAGATATTAACTTCAGGCCACCAAAAACACCGACGTGTCACTCTGAGCTCGCTTTCTCTTATTATAATTATGTAATTTTTCAGGACGGAATTTTGAATTACGTTGCAGGGCATGCTTTTTCCTTTGCCTTATCCTCATGCCTTAGTGAGATTGGTTCAAACTGGCGAAGTTTGTTCTTCGAAATAAGACACCCTGGGCTAATGTTGGCTAACTACATGCTGAAACACCCGAGTGATGACAAAACATTTGGGAAATTCAACGTAGGCTAACAGAAGCAAATGGATAATAACGCATCGATCGACAGTGTCCAAATATTGATAACTCGGGTGAATTCATTGGTGTTTGATCAGGCGGTAGTTGATCTGTACCTCTGGCTCGGCAATTTGCTTGCAAACGTTACGTCACCAGTTAAGGCGTGGTTGTGCGCCAATCTTACCATGAGCTACCAACTATTCTTCTATACACTGTACACATACAAGGAGAAAGTACCCACCAAACCAGGCATTGATGATGTCTCCGCGGTTGGTGACAAAATATCTGCAAACAGATCGCCAAGCTTGGCGGACAAATCAACAGCCAACTCATCTTCAACCAGGTGTCTTATGACTTGATGGCCAGAAAATAAACAGGGCAAGGCAGTCTGTACTTGTAAAGGTTGGGGCGGTTTTCCTGGCAAAAAACAAGCGTGAACGGTAACTAAAAAGCCAATCAGATACTTTTCGGGAAACAGAGCATCGGAACTTCTTTTCATGTCTTCAGATTTTTAGTAATAAAAATGAGATTTCATGCAAATTGTAGGAATACGCTTCAGCCACATCAAATTCCAAAGTGGGTCTAAAATAAAGCAGCACCAATACGGGAGTTAACACTGTAGCAACAACTACAGTAAAAAGCGTTACCCTTGACATTCACGAAGTCCCTTTCCTTCAACATGTTAAAAAAAAGTCCTCAACCTCAGTCTTTCAGTTTTCTGACGGAACGCCATAAAATTCTGTTTTGAAATCCATTGAGATTGCAGACCCCGCAATGAGGGCTTAAAGAACCGATCTATCCTTGGGATAACCATTTAATTCGAAAGTACATTTCGAGAAACCGTTTTCTTGGGGAAGATTACTGTAAGTCCAATTACACTTAGACACTATATGCTGTTGGATTTGGCTAGTCACTGACTTCACTCCCAGAAAGTTTGCTACTGTCCCTTCAGTACATAACGCGGGCAGTAAATTTTTGACCGCGGTTCGTTCCCAGAAGAAATGCGGACTGGTTTCAGCCGGATAGACTGAAGGAAGCCGAATGAATCCAAGCGATTGTCGTCATATCGCAAATGGTGTAAAATGAGCCTCTCTGCAATGTTGCTTGTTAAAGTAAGGAGCAATTATACGAGGTAGCGAGTAATTGGTCTGTGCTACGCACAACACATTAGGTTCGGCAAGTCACCAGTTTAACTTCGATCCCAGAGTACTTAATGCCAAATGTCCTAACTTCTAACAGTAAATAAAAGCAGACGGGCTGAAAATGAATACCTTTCGGCGGCGCACAACACACTCCAATCAGGCGATCCCATGCCGAAGTTCCCATTCCAGCTCCAGACTTTCCAAAACACCAAGGACAACATCCAGGTTTACATCGCCAGCAAGCCCAAATAAGGGCAGAGATCAGGAGGAGTAGGGCCAACAAAAGACCGGCGATGAGCGCGTCAATAAGTCCGCCCATTCCCAGAATACCACCAGGCTGTTTAAGCATCAGGCCGGTACCTGCGTTCATGCCGGCTCCACCACCACCGTAAACCTTCCCTGTTCAATGCAAGACGGTAAAACAGAGGTGAGTCTCGTTTGTTTAACCAAAGTCCATTTTAACATAATTTGTTTGGTTGGGAGGGGCTCGCTTACCGGGAACAAATATCGGTGCGCCAAGGTTGACGTTACCCGTCCCAAGACCGGGCATGACGACACCGCCAGCGTTTGATCCTTCTGGAATTCGATCTGGAAGTGGTTTCGGGGGTCCAGGTTTCTCCGTGGTGATGGGTTGAAGCAAATGTGGCATCAAAACTACAACCACTTCTTCCATGTTGCCGGATGGTTGTCGGCCAGGTGCTACCATCACGTTTGCATCCGACACAAGACTGCCCCTTTCGTCAATCAAATAATGACCGTTCCAGTAGAATGCTGGAGATAGGATAAAAGATTGTAAACAAAATGAAGGATTATATGGCCATCCCGATCAATCATGCATACTTGCTTGTACCAATTTCCATCTACTTAGTGACTGTACGCCTCTGAAATTGGTCGCTTCAGTCCGTCAAATACCGAAACATATAAGACTCAACGTAACTTACCTCCAATTACACCGTCAAAAGTCTTTTGGAAGTCACGATCGGCGCCAAGGACAATCTCGCGAGTAATTTGAGACCCGTCGATACCGACGAAATCTGGGATGAAGTATAGCATCGAGAATTACGAACACATTCATCAGGAAGCTGTTTACAAGACAGATTCATCAACTTAGAATGTTTGACCAGATCTCGGAAGAAGCGGAATAAATCCGGTGGGTGTGTCTGGTTTGATCACGTGGCCTTCGACTAGCGTTGGCATGATGTATGTAAAGCAAAGGAAATGATTGCGCATTCTAAATTTTTCCGTCTGACAATCACCTAGAGATTACACTTCACCATTATAAAGAATACCGATCAATTTCAACCAGTCGCTTTGTTGGACATTTTTGCCCGTTTAACTAATGTACTCTACGCCAACGAGCTTGAGGCATTGAAATTTCCAACACGATCGCACTACTGAGAAAACATGTTGGTTTTTGATCAGTTTGTGGATGGTCAATTCGAAAACAAATGACCGTATATCTTGCGCGTCCGACGAAAACCACTTTTCCCACGGTTTTTGGGAGCCGGCACGCTGCCTTCGAAACAAGAAGGAATGAACGGTCGAGCCAAAAAAATGAACACACGGATTTTTGAGCGGCGATGGCGTGTATTCGGTGAAACTTCATTATGCAACCAATCTGCAATTCTAAAATTAACTTATGCATCATTGCGCTAATATGGTTCTAAATGCATAAGTAGAAACCGAAGCCGAAGTTGTGGCTCTGATATGAAAGCAACGATTAACTCGATCAAGCTCGCTTTTCCATTTGGATGGTTTTTTTTACAGAGGGGAATATGATATTTCAAGCTGACATAGCATGCTTACAAGTAAGCGACACGTATAAACTTTGGAGTAAATGTGTACTCCTGATAATCCTAATGTGTTTACCAGCGAATCATATTCGAGAAAGTTACTAGTCTCATTGTTGTCTCTGTGATATCTATTTACGTTGACGAATATGCGGCACATGGTCCCGTTCGACCCACTAGACATGCTTTTCTGCAAGACGTGGCGGGACAGCTGCAATGGACCGCGATGCCTGTTTTGAGCTTATGACCTCATGTACCGCCGTATCGAGTAATGCATCCATAAGCTGAAACGACGGCTAGCTCTCGAAAAAACTGAGAACTCTGTTTTTGGGACCCTAACGCGTGAGTTGTGTTTTACACGCTGCATATGAACCGTCAGGCGTGTCCGAAAGCGTAAAGGCTCGTTACTTGTGAGCACTAATCAGGTTCTGAAGTATTTTGTTACGGCTCAGTAACAAGAATCACTGCTGACTTTGTTACTTAAACGGAGATATCGTAAAAAGACTATTTGACCATCTTCAGATACCTTTATGACCGAAACAAGCCTCTACATTGGGGCATACAGCAAACAAGGTGTGAGTGACAGACTTACCTTACAGTACCTCTAGAACGATTAGCCACGTCAGTTAGTCCCAAAACCTCACGCAAAACATTCAATGCCTTAATCTTTGAGGCAGCTAAAGACAGTTATTTCCGATTTAGCAATCCGAATCTTAATGTAAGGATTTTGCTTGTGAACACTATCAGGGCACACCAGTACCATGTTTTCAATGACGCAATCACAAAGTAGCATGTAGCGATCTGTGATACTCCCACTTCGGTCTGAAACGCATTCCTTAACAATTAGAGTTTATTGCACTCACTCAATCCAGGGGCTAGTGCGACAGGCTGGCTGCACTCGGTTTTGATCGGTGGGCATCACTGTTGAAAACGAGCCCTTTCTCTAAGCTACTCACACACAGAACAGGGCTAAATGAATTGGCTCGAGTACTACAGTGTGAAAATATGTGAATTTCATTGGTCTACAATCACGTCCATCCAATCATGGTTTTCACACTACTTGAGAGTCACTTTTGAGCTGCGTGTTTGGTACTCCAGAGAAATAGCAGCAGCCCGGCATACTACTGCATCCACCTAACTCCTATATGAACAGACTGTACGGATAATTCCTGTGATGAGAACAATGTAACCGCTTCCTTTTTTCCGGTACCATTCTTGTAGTTGTGTGATGGAGACAAAACCGGTCTTGGGGAAGTCTGATTATCCAGGTAAACTGTTTATTTTCCGATGAACTTCAGATTCAACCTTGCGCAAAGATACCACTCGAAAAATATGTTATACCCATGTGTGAATCGAAGCACTCCTAATAGGAGGGGGATTAGCTCTCAGCTACATAGTCTCGTTACAGGACGAAATGTTTTCGACGTCGCGTAATAGGTTGTGAAAAAGTCCTAGTGAAAATAACGGCCTAAATCAGAATTATTTGTTATAGTCAGTTTGCAGTGGGGCATAGAATGAAGTTGACATTTGGCGATTTTTGTTTGTTTGTGTGTGTTTAGTGGTTCACGGTCGTGACATTCACCAACCTTGGAAATCTAATAGAACTGTCAGGTTCGTCGCTCCATCCCCTTTGACTGCTAGGCACCAATTGGTTATCACGATCAATATCGACCATTCGCAGCGTGACTGTGGTCTTTCCGTTATTCATCCTTCATGGGTTGGTTTTTCCAATAAAAGAATCTGTGTAAGACAGCGACGATTGGCTTGTCACGAGTTGCTGTTCAAACACGCCACGGTCAGTCGCCAGGCCAAAACGAATAAGTCTGTGATTATTTGGGTTGGTGTACGAACAAGCAAAAATCGATACACGAAATTTACTGATTATGAATCCAGATTCCACATACTGGAACGTGGATAGATCTGTCATTTGCAGCACGTTGACTCAGATGCTCGGATGCGTGCATACCTCTACTCAATGCCTGCTTATCTGTCTGGAATGCACAGTGAAGTTTTGGAGGCCACCAAGTCTGGTTTTTTGGAGGAGTGCTCAAAATAAGCTTGCCACTAGTAAGACAAGAACATTTAGAAGTAGTAAGTTCTGGGACGATATATGATGAGTATGATAATAAAGCCGTTGTGAAATCATGTAGTAAAAGCATAACCTCAGGACCACTTGATAGGACACTACTCCTAAGATTGATGGAAGCCCCTCGACAGTCCACCACCGATTTTGCCCCGGTAGGTGTAACCTCCAAAATTACATACATACATACTGCATTTCACACTTATAGGCATCACAAACGGAAGACTCCTTTGATCCTTAACATCATCCTCGCATATTAATTTCTGTTTCAATGTTAGGGTGAACGGGTGGAAATTCGTTGACCTTAGAAATCATATAAAGTTGTCAATAACCCTGAAAAATACTTCATAAACTTAAATACCGATCCAAAATTGATTGGGGAGACCTCCGCTACCCTACTTGGTGAACTGATAACGTAAGCAAGAAATCCATTCGGATCCCATGCATGTCTCGCTTTGAAAACAACTTAGAATGTTATGCGCACTGTCACCCTAAACAGTTCCAAATTTATATTTATCATGGATGAAAGGATTCACCGCATCAGTCAGAAGGCACGGTTCGTTCTCCCTGGTTTAAACGCAGGAAGATCAGAGGGGTATACTCGCAATCTAGAGGAAGTAAAGGTCTCGGCACGCAAATGAAATGCAAGGAACCTCTTCGAAATATGGTACTCCGCTACAAACACAATCGACCGACATGCAGAAACCAACCCAATATAGGTACCACCACAGGCTAGTGACTTTACTCTCGAAGAGGATTCAGGTTGTACGGCTCAATGACTTGCGAAGGTGGGGAGCAAGAAAACTGTGTAGGCCAAGTGGACGTTAGATAGTGTGCACCATCAACCCAGAAGAATGTGTTTTCACACTACTAAAAGACCCACTAATCAAGTGACGCTGGGAGATGACTGGAACCAAAAGGAGAATATCGAGAAATTTTTGGTGGGATATGAGAATGTGACGATTGAAAAACTAATCACAGGTCAACCATGAAACCGAGAACACAGATGGCAACAGTTCAGCTCGGATCCTCCATTTATCGATGGGCGTGTTGCACACGGATGTACCTCTTTACCGACAACCAAGTCAGCAAGAGTGAGGAAATGCCTATGAAAATTCCTTAAGACCTGAAAACTGATAAAAAAAATCTTACATTGCATGCCATTTTTTGCATATCTGCATCAAATACATTACGACATGGGACTGCTTTTCAGCCCAGTCTCCGGACTCCAAAATAGGGCCTTGTTCGTGTTGATTAGCGAACTGACCCATAAGTTGAGGTGAAAGATAGTCTGAGTGCTTCGGAACAGTGTTTCGTACAAATGTGGTTCATATCATTGAAAATTTATCTAATTTACTCACGGGAATTTTTAACCCTAAAACCAGACACGCGAGACTTTTAAACCTCATTAGGAAATCGCTTACGTGATAATTCAGCTTGAATTAGCGTCACAGTTGACTAGCTTATCTTCTAGACATAACAAATCACTTATTTCTAAGAAACTCACCAGCTGCTACATCTAGTCGACTACGTCATCAGATTAGTCGAATCCAGCAGGTAGACTAACAACAGCTATTCACATACGAGCAAGGATCGGAATGACTTACCACAACGCTCGCTTCGATTAGGTGAACACAGGGTAGTCACAGATTTTGCAGATCACGTTTAAGTCGTTTGAATTAATAATCGCGTTTCTTCTGGTGAGTCAGCTTCTGGCGAGCGAGTTTCGCCTAGCCTTGCCACACCTCCACACGAGTCAAATGTGGTAAACCTGACACTGGTTATGTCGCTCCAGCCGAGTTAGTAATACACCGAAAGTCAATTAGCATTAGCAATTGATTGCAAAGATCACTGAGTTCCGTCCTTGTCCTTGTGGTGGTACATTGACAGACAGAAAAGGATAGACAGACACCTAGGATTCAGGTAGGTGAATCATTTAAAACACCAGATAGTGCATCTCCAATCCGTTTCAAGAAGCTGTTGTTGGAAGTGGAAACACTTGTTCCTATAATCACCCTTATTGCGACACAAAATGAGATGTCTCGAAATCTCATTCTCAGGATATTTCTGGCCGCTGTACGTTGTCATCTTGCTACCGAGATATGGTGACTAGGTTTCCAAATGTACAGATAGCTACTAAGAAGCGGAAACCGTGTAAAAT